GTGTGTGCGTGTGCGTGTGTGTGTGTGTGTGTGTGTGTGAGTTTGAGTGTGAGTGTGAGTGCGTGTGTGGACACATACGCCACTGATTATGTAAACTGAGCAGCTTACAGTCAAGCCACAGGCTGGACCAGCTTGCTCACTTTTTTTTTTTCGCCCCCTCCACCTTACCGGGTTTGGGAGCCATAATCACTAGCAAGTTCAGGTCAGGTCAGCGATGGATGCCGAGTGAGGTTAACGGGAAGGAAGAGGAGCGCGGAAAGACAAGTGAAAGACGAAATAATTGAGGGCAAAGGATATGATGGACAAAAAAGTGAAAGGTTGCCAAAACGGCTGGAGAAAAATGGAAGGTGATCACTGATCAGGCTGTTTGAGGAAATTGGACGGTGGGGGAGAATGAAAGAGGTCAGGAGGGATCACGCTGCTCCGCTGCCTCGTCTGCTAAATAGTCATTTGACGACAGCGGAACCTTTAAAGTTCCTCAAGTTGAAACTAATCAGATTTGGAAAAAATTGGTTCTAAAGTTATCATGAATGACTTTAGGTGACACGTCCGCATATCTCGCAAAAGCTAATTTCAGCGAAACTTGAACATATAATACACTTGCCTTCCAAATTATCATGCCACTCATATTTTCTCGGAATTTCCGATGACACGCCGTACCAACCGTAATTTAATTTTAATTTAATTTTCCAAACAAATCTCCCAACAGTATTTTTTTTTTAAATCATTCAACTAATTCCAAATAATGACGCACAATGGAGTTTCATGACGTTCTCCAGGGAAGAAATGAAAAGACCTGACTGAAATCAAAAGCTACTTGAACACGTCGAGTCGCATTATAACATCGGTCACCTTATTCGATAGCGGCGTCACAATTCTTGCAAAATAAATTCCGATTTGGTATTGTCTTAAACTCTAATGATGTTTCCTTGTGTGTCATGACATTCAATGGCCAGATACGCACATACAGAACATGGACCTGCGAGCGCGACGGTTCCAATAATCCCTGATGTTGTCACAAAGGTTAATAGAATGTTTCCAAACAAATCATCTGAACTTAAAAAGTGTGACAGAAATAATTAACACATCATATTAACTGTCAGTCGCCTCGCGGATGATGACACACACTTTACCACGGCGTCTTAACGACTTCCGACAGGCAATCCATTCGACTTTATTTGGATGTGAAATGACTGGAAGAGAAAGTAACAAGCAATAAAATATCCTCATAATGTGCGACGTAATGTGTCGAGCTGCCTCACTAATTGACCAAAAGAAACGGGCAGTTAGCAATGCGACGCGGTATGAATCAGATTCATTTCAATGGGTTCACCTTAGAGAACCTTGTCATGTTTGAGAGTCTCTGCATGTTAAATCGGCTGAAAAAGGGGTGGACTGACCCGGAACTTGAAAGTCACTTTGGTTTTTAAAGTGGTGGATTAGCAATGCTGACAGGCGGACACTTTCCAAGAGTAGCAGCCTGTCAAACAACAGCGCCTCAAACATTTGGAGATGATTCGACTTGGGGGAGGCATCGTCCGTTAACCCAGCGGTCGGCAACCCCTGGGCCGCGGACCAGCGCCGGTCCGCGGGTCATTTGGTACCGAGCCGCACAGAAAGAATAAATAACTTATATTAATTCCGTTTTATTTATTTCGGACTCTGAAAGATGTTTCATTTTGAAAAATTACCATATCCTCTGTTATATCTGTCTACAATATGTCATGATTGACGCAGGTGAAGGCAGCGCTTCTCGGTCACATGATAGGTTACCGCTAAAATGAAACCCGGGAGCTAGCAAAAAGAGTAAAAAAACAAACATCTTTGGAAAGTTTCTTTGGGAAGGTGAAAAGGCCCAGCCAGGAGACAGAAGAGGAGCCTACGACTTTTAAGGCTACATTTAATAGACAGTATCAGGATTTCCTACTTCAAATACGGATTTAATCCACTCTGCATAATATGCGGCGATGGTGAGTCATATTTTTCATGCACTTTGTATTTGCGGTGTATCTTATTTTGAAGGCACATTTAAATGTTACCATAGCGATCAGAGAGTGTTGCGGGCAGAGAGGACGTTCCTCGTGTCATGATTCATGTTTATTATGTTTTGAAAATACTGCAGTTTTCACGTAGGTCATATATTATTTTGTTGTATTTATCCATCACACCTTAAAGGCCGGTCCCTGAAAATATTGTCTGACATTAAACCAGTCAATTGGGCAAAAAAGGTTGGGGACCGCTGCGTTAACCTAAAAATGCCCAGTACACTACAAAATGACCGTATTTTCCGCACCATAAGGCACTTCGGAATATGAGGCGCACCTTCTTTGAAAGGCCTATTTTCAAACTGTTTTCATACAGAGGGCGCACTAATGACACGAGAGCAGCGCAACTTGGAAATGTGACTATAGTGGACAATTCTGGGACGAACGGACTTAAACAGCTACTTTGGAGGAGGGTTTGGAGTGAACTGGATTTATGGAGCTGGGGTTACAGCGATCTCCAATTCAGTTGTGGATATCCGTAATTCACAAGCAGATGGATATCGGCGGTGGAAGAGTAGATAGTTGTAATGAGAAATCTCAGATACATGAAAAGTAACATCCTCGGGGAAATGTAATTCAGATTTGGCGAAGCAAAACTGAATTACAAATAATTCCATCAGTGATTTTGTCTGGTCCCAATTATGTTAGGTATCTTGAATGAAAACTTCAACCATTTAAAATGGAATTACCACTCGTCAGAAAGATGTCGGTATCTACCATTTCAATTCCCGGTAGACAAATGAGCTGTTATATGTTGAATCCACTTGCCAAACAGACATTTTTTTTTTTTTACTCAGACAGCAGGGAAATGTTTCAAATTGTGAAATTACATAAAATTTTTTCGATAGGGGGTTTTTGTCATCAATATCATCATTCAGTTCTCCATTCTGATGGATTTGGTCACGCCTCAAGCTTGGACCTGCAGGAAGCGAGGCGTATCATCGCTCCTCCCGAGTGCACCAAGTGCCTCTTTGGCGACTCGCATGCGCGCGTTGCCTCGTGCCAGCTAACGTCCAAGAGATTAAAAGCGCCGCGCCGTGTGGTCACATACGAGGCGAACGCTGATGAAGAGCTGTGTCCATCTGCTCTGATACGCTGACCACTGATGATTTGTCCACCTGCCAGTCTCTCATTTGGGGAGGACAACTACTTTGTGCCGCGGAGCAGGTGGCTCGCTGACTTAACGGAAAGGGCGCACGCAAGCAACTACTGAAGATCGACAAACAAAGGACGCGTCTGCACAAGTAACCGCGGGCTTGAAAGGAATGATAAGTGATGTGGCCCCGCCAATCTGCTCCCAAATTGAGACTCGAGTGGTAACTTGACTTTCAATGTAATTTGTTATGTGACCGATTCAAAGTTCTCCACAGCTGCTATCTCGCAAAATGGCTTAAACTGCATCGGTGAGCTGCCTGTATCTCAAGATTTGGGCTTGCAACACACACACACACACACACACACACACACACACACACACACACACACACACACACACACACACAAAAGGGTGTAAAGTGCGCTATATTTCTTGATAGTCTTGCTTTTGATGAAAGCGTGTGAGAGACATGTTGTGAAGACACCCGTGAACTGTTTTAAATTGTGAAAAAAAAGCACATTTACTTGAACAAAAATTAGTTTAGGTTGTTAAATGAATGCACTCACAACATGCGTTCTCTATAATTACAACTGGCAGCAGTTCCCTTGCTGAGATGATATTTGGAGGAGCGACATCTGGCACCTGTCAATGGCCACATCTGTGCTATTGTACGTGTGTGTGTGTGGTTGTGTGTGTGTGTGTGTGTGTGTGTGTGTACTCAGAAGCACAATTGCAAACCATACCTCCTCCAAACCCTCAATCCTGTCAGCGTCCCGTCTTTTCACACGCACAACGCACACCTGCACAACAATGGGTGCGCTTTTAAGGCCAAATCCACTCTCCCACTTTCGCAAAAAGACCACTCACTCCCCCCCGACCCGCTATTCAAATCCCAACGACTGGCAGGGAAATAACACACATTTGCGACAAGGACGTGAGAATAGAAAAGCCTGCTAATAAAGCAAATGGATTTTTAACAACAAACCTTCACATTAGAATGCGTTCAGAGTCGCAATCCCCTGGAGCAATCCCTCTCGGCGACGCGCTAAACTAGAGTGTGGCCTCTCGATGGGCATGGTTATCATTATAATCCTGACTTCTGACTCTCGTTGAGTTCCCAGCAAAAAAACTTGTTTTCACAGAAAGCACAGCATGTTCCGGGTAGCAAATTGGTGTCACACTTTCAACAAAAGACTCGATAAAACGTCTTGAAAATACCCGACGAACAATAAATGTGTTCCACTTACCGTTGCGTCTCGGCGCTGTACTGTCCCCGGCCCACATGGTTGACAGCGCAAAGCCGGAACTGATAGGTCCTTGCAGGTGTGAGTCCGCCCACCGATATGTTGGTCACGGTGGGGTCCACCTCAGACAGGTAGACCTTCCATGGGGAGTCTGAACACACAAAGGAGAAAAGCTGAGGGAATTCAATGAAGGAAGCAGCAACAAGGAATTGTTTACTGCTTATTGAAAAATGTGACATTTTGAAAAGGTTAGCTTTGGATGTTTGTACAGAAGTCTCACATCATCTCAGATCTTCGCAGATGATCAACAATGTATGACTTGTAAGTGTCGCTATGTTGTCTAAATGTGCTGCGGCATTGTTTATGTTCAAATATCTTAAGGCGTTCTTAAAGGTTGATATGTATTCCCCATTACGTGTTAGCATTAGGAGGACGAAAGGCTGAGCTGTGTGTGTGTGTGTGTGTGTGTGTGTGTGTGTGTGTGTGTGTGTGTGTGTCATCTTTAGGATCACGATAAACTTTTAACAGTGGCATTAGACAGTGTGTAGACTCTAACTGAAGAAATGCTCATTACTACTGTTGCTTATATAGTACATCGTGAGTTGAGTTCACTGCCAGGATAAAGCACTTGTATTATGTTTTAAATTTGCACTGGCAAGTCAAAATAAATGCTTCATCAGTGGAGCGAAAATCGCCCTGATGTGCAGGTATCCCCTGATTTAAGACCCCGGCGAGCAGCTCAGTATTTATCCTTAAGCAGGAGTGAGTGGATAAAAGTGTTTGAATTGACAAAAAAAAAAGCCTTTTAAAAGTGTGAATACGACCTCATTGAAATCAGGAGTTAGAGAGACTCGTGAATCAAACGTCAGCTTGCAGCTGAGAATGGAAAGTCTTTGTCGTCATTGTATGGGCAAATACAATAAAAGGACAGGTAAATGGATGGACATTTATTTAGTCAAATTGTGGTATTTCTTCAACAAAACACCGTATTTTCTGCACTATAAGGCACTCTTAAACGCACTCAATTTTCTCAAAAGCCGACAGTGCACTTTATAATCTGATGCGCCTTATATATGGATCAATATTCCGATTTCTTGGATGTAGTATTTTAAAAGTTCTGTAAAGCGCTTGGTTACAGCTGAAGCCGGTTGTGAAAGCTTTCAATAAAGCTGTATTGTATTGCATTCACTTTCGCGTGGCTCCATCTAGTTGATGCATAACGCAATCGCAGCCACTATTCTAGCTTCGATTCCACGGGCCTCATAATGCGGTGCGCCCTATACATGAAAACCGTTTTAAAATAGGCCATTCTTTGACGGTGCGCCTTATACTCCGAAGCCCCTTATAGTGCGGAAAATATGGTAATTGGATTGTTTTGATCGATTCCTAGCACAATGGAATACAGCACTTTGGATATCACTGCCATTATATTGGGTGGGGTCTCCTGAATACACGAAGATTCACTTACACTTCCTAACATCAACAACTACGTAGGTCACAGTGCAATGCCTTCATGTTTTGCTAATTTTTGTTTGGTTTACATTACTTTTAATAAAAACAGAGCATTTTTGGTCATGATATCGGCATGGGGAACGTTCACATCCGTTTATCTGTAGAAGCAACAGAAAACAACATGACAATATGATGAAGGAGGACAGATGATGTGTATACCGGTGCCAGCTTATCATTGTCCCCTTGCACCTTGAGACGCGAGAGACCGATGCGCTATTCTCATCCCCGTGTATATTTGTGTGAATGACAGGAGTAATGTGGGAATGTATGCAAACAAAGCAAAGGCAACAAAGCCATTGTGTGATGTAAAAAATACGCGCAGTGCTCGCAGCGATCCCCAGCGCGTAATGTGTCATAAGTGCGTGTGGGTGCACTCACACGGCGACAACATAACAAAGCAACTTTTGTCCATCTCTCACTGTCTGCGGGCTCACTGTAATTTTCTCCCTTCACACTTCTTTTCTTCTTCAAGATGTTTTTTTTTACATTTTGCTTTCGACATGCAAATAAGAGCCGATGAGAAATTAGCTTCTTCTCTTCTCCTGAGAAGCATACCGCCAAAACATAAAATCTCCTTAGACTTTGAAGAACCCTTTCCTGCATCTTATAGCCAGAGTCTCGAATATTTAAATATAATGTATCAACAATATTTGGCAAACAACATTTCTTGATTCCATTATATTAATATAACTTTATTAATATGTGTGTGTTTAACACAATAATATCATTGAAATAGGCCACATAGCATTAGTTTGGGCACGAAAACAGTACAAAAGGAAAACTTTGTACTGTGTGGGGTATTTTTAGAAAAGTATTTCAATTTAATGGACAATCGGCTCGAATGAACAATCTTAAATCAGTAAATCGAGGTTCCACTGCATGTTGTATTGAAATACATTCAAACGTACACACAAGGACGTTCAAATGTACTTGTAGGCTAAATGCTACGTATGTAGCATTTTTCAATAATGCCGCCGGATCTACGCCAATGGACTGAATCTTGACAGAAGCATGCTGGCCGGTGACGGACTTTTAGCGCCACATATCGCCCAGTTCAAGACACAGAAAAATATTTATCCGGTTGTCTGACTGTCGTGAACAACAAAAAAAAAAAAAAAATTCACATTGTTTGACAGGCCTTTAGCGTAGCGGCGTTAAGGTATGTTAGTGAGCTGGTAGAAGTGAGGCTACATTCGAATCTTGCAAGCAGCTTTAAAAATACATACTCCAGCTTTAAACGCTACGTTTATGATTTCAACTATTCTAAAAGTTGGGAGCAAAGTGGCTGTCTGTGCAGTGTGCATATAACAGAAGGAGAGAGGAAGTAGTCAGTGTAGCCATCTTGTCATTCTTTTCCTCAATCCCCGTTTCCCTCTGTGTGCCATCTGAAAGGGACGCGGCCTGCTGTTACAAACAGCTGTGCTGACAGAGGGACGAGAGACAGCAAGACAGAGGGAGCGAGAGAGAGCGAGAAAGAGAGGACGAGGCTGGCGAGGGGTGTTGGGGTTCGGGCTTGAGAATTTATTTCTAGGGAACCTGGACGTACTTTTACGAAGCAATACTATTCCCCATATGTCTGCCTTATAAATGAGCGTACATCGGTGCCTGCTAGACGGCAAGCCAACAGCTGTTTGCCGCTATGGGGCTATAAATTAGCACCCCCCCCCACACACACACATATACACATATGCATATACATACTGTTCTCCGAGAGCTCCAACAGATAGTAGAGAAGCGGAGAGTTGCCATCGAACGGACGCAGCCAGGAGAGCAGGACCGAGCGTGAGTCTGAATCATTGAGACGCGCCGCCAAGGAGCGAGGAGAGTGTGGCAACTCGCTGCGCACCAGAAAAAGAAAACAAACCTTCACACGGAGACAGTTTGACATTGACATTACGGTACATGACAACAACGAGTATAACCCTCAGGTTTTTTTGTGTTTTTGTTTGCATTTTTCATGGAACACCACTGACAATGTAAGCGGTCAAGGGCAATTCAGAGTCCCTTGGAAATAACTAAACACAAAGCAGTGAATGTCAAAACCACTGGCGAGAAAAAGTGAGGACACATCTTCGTAAAATTGTCTATACCGTGCCAAATTACACCGGGGAACAATTTGAAAAGAAAATTCCGTTGCATTCGATTTGTATGATGATTAAATCTAAAATTTGCATGCTGACTCCAACATCGCAGTTATTTTTTTTTCTCCATATCTTCGCCACCAGATAAGCAAAATTCCACTGATTAGCAAGACGTGCCACCTTACTACGATTGGACTCATCTACAGCGATGTGGCAACTTGTTTGTGCAGTCACAATAGAGACAGTGTGGTGAGAGGCGTGTGCAGTTCCCAATAGATCGGTACTATCAATATCAGAAAACAAAAAGCCAGCATAGTCAGAACTAAGAGGATTAGTGCTGACTTTTCTCTTAACCTTGCCAGAATGGGCAGAGCTGTGTCAGTTCTATTATGTTTATTTTTTTTGTTGCTGTTTTCAAATGCTTGTAACTCTTCGTTCACACTCGCACACATTTATTTACTATTTTTTTCAGAAAACATTCTGGACCCAAAAGTTAGTTAAAAATAGCCACTGCCTTGTTGTCATGTGACCCATCGGAGTACACCCAGATGGCACCGAGGAGTGTCAAAGGCAAATTTGAGCCAATTTGAACATTTTCCCTCCGGAGTGAAGTCACTTTTGTTGCCAGTATACCTGTACATTATTGGCTGCGAGTTATTTTGAGGTGTCAATACATTTACGCTGCGATGCAAGCTGTACACGGACTCCCTTCTAGCTAATTGTTCCTTCTTTCATGAAAAGATTTATTTTCACCAATGTGAGCGGCCTGCTCCCTTTTGTGAGATGCCGCATTGAATGAAGGTCACCACACAACAGATGAGCAACTCCGACTGGATACCAGCAATAACTTGAACAACCTTGCGTCGGCTAATAATGAACTCATTGAATGTGGACTATTTGACTCGCTGCTAACACATCAGCCACCCGCCGGTGGTCGAAAATAACCTCGGTGATGTTACAGCTCACCCACGACCCTTTGAGGAAGCGGAATCGAAAAACGATGGATCGATGGTTTGCCGCTACCCCACATAATAACCCGTTTCTTTTTGTCGTCGGTTATGGGGCACGTCATATTTCAATACTTGGAGTGAGTGCGAGGATGATGATGGCAGACAGATGAAGGTGATGTGAAAGGTGGCGACGCTCCGACAGGACGCGAGGAAGAGAAAGGAGGACGAGGGGAAATGAGATTGATGTTTTCTTCTCAGAGCTGACATGACTGCATTAATTAATGGATGAGCATAGAAAAATGTTGGAGCGCTTCCCTCCGCTGAGGCCACGCACACACACGCACACATGCGCGCACACCCCAAGAGTGACAAACACATGGATGGGCCTTGTGAGAGTTGAACCAATAACCTGCTGGTAATTAGTCTGTCTCCTCAGCCGCCAGCGTCTGTTAGCCTCCGTGACCCGATGATAGCGAGCTAACGAGAATGTCACTCTTGCACGCGCGCAGACACGCGCGCACGCACCAAATCCGTAATTTACCATCCGTTTTTTTTTTTTTTTTCCATAGGCGTAAACACGGAGACACTTCAACTGACATGTAACCTCGCCGCTCGCAATGGCTCCGAACAATGCGGACCAAGTTCCCGCCCTCCCACTCGCCCCCTTGCCCTGCGATTTTTATTAATATCGCATAAGTATCGTTTATAAATACATCACACAAGTGCATATTAATATGTAATGGCCCCTACCTGCGAGCATTCGCTCACAGCGGCTTTAATGAGGGTTGGTGGGTGAAATATGCATGTGACGTGATTTAATATTAGTGCCTCATTTGGAACCTACTTTGCCGCACTTTTGCACATGAAGCAATTATTAAAAAGCGATGACAAATGAAACCAAGCGAAACGCTTCAAATGTATATTTGAGCCACTGCTGACTTAAATCACGTTAGCGTAATTGCCGAATAATGGCGCTCACCATCATTAGGGACGTGGGTGAGCTGGAGCTTATCTTTGGTGACTGTGGGTGAGAGGCTTGGAAAACCTTAGCCTGGTCGCCAGCCAATCGCAGGCCACATACAGGCAGAGCATTCACACTTAGAACAATTGAACATCTTCAGTTACAAGCTCACACCAGGCAGGAAGCCCATAGCAAATTATTTTCGTTCATCGATGGATTGTTTCGAGACTAAAGTTAACATTGTCAAAATACTCAGAATTTCAGCCTCTCATCAGTAAATGCAGTATTCTCAGATTTCTGTCATCCTCCATTAGACTGATGATGTTTGTGGGGTTTTTTTTTCAAAATAAGGCATTTGCGAGACCAGTTTTACTTTGGAAAACAAGAATCAACATTTTTGCTGATTTTTTTTTTTTTTTTTTTGGACAGATGTCACCGATTCATAATTAATGCATGGTTTAGCATTTTGCGCAGCGCCAATTTGAGAAAATATCCTGTTTGTGAATGAAGGAATGGAAATGAAAGAATTTGTAAGGCTACAAGTCATCGATTAATCAACAAAATAATCGAGATTAATCGATTACTAAAATAATCGCTAGTTGCAGCCCTTATAAAAACCAAAAACAGGAATTTCCAAATTTTTATATTAGTCGTGCCCCAATTAGTGGCGAGGGCCAGTTCTTCACTGCTTGGAGCCTTATTATTATTATTTTTTTTTTGAAGGGGGGGTGGTAATGTAAAAATAATTATTCCCCATTAAACAATATATGATATTGTGATTAAAGCTGAGTGTCTTCCACTTACATGACTTCCAGGCGTGCAGAGTGGGAATCGTTGCCGGCCTGCGAGATCACAGTGCAAGTGTAATCGCCGATGTCACCTGACCAAGTCTGGCCAATGGTGAGGGAGCCTTGGCGTACAGAGACGCGCCCCCCGCTGCTGGTCAGGATGGGCGCATTGCCTCGCTCCCACTTGAAGCTGCAACAGGGATGAGCGGATTTATTTAAAAGACTGCTGCATAGAGAAGGGACGGGTAAGAAGCTTCCACTCTCAAACTAACAAGCTCGTACCTGACATTGACTCTGGGGTCATGTGTAGCATTGCAGGCCAAAAAAGCTGTGGTGCCTTTGATGACACGCAGGTCAGACGGGGGCACAGAGATGACGGTACGACCTGGAAGGCAACACAGTGATTAATGCTGGGAGCGAAACAATACTCTCATACATCCATTCGTCCATTTTCGAATCAGCTTTATCCTCACAAGTGTTGCAGAGGGTGCTGGAGCCTATCCCAGCTGTCTTTGGGCAGTAAGCAGGGGGCACCCTGAACTGGTCGCCAGCCAATCGCAGGGCACACAGAGACAAACAGCCATCCGCACTCACATTCACGCCGAGGGACAATTGAGAGTATTCCATTAATCTGCCACGCATGTTTTTGGAATGTGGGAGGAAACCGGAGTACCCGGAGAAAACCCATGCAGGCACGGGGAGAACATGCAAACTCCACACAGGAAGGCCGGAGCCGGGATCGAACCCTGCACCGATGCACTGTCGTGCTGACGCGCTAACCAGTCGACCGCCGGGCTGTCCTTGTCTAATTCAGCGGTGTGTCAAATTTTTTGCAATCTCCAAAAAAAAAAAATCTTAGCTCTCCAAGTACCTTGACTGACCTTTTTGCTTGAACTGATTTCACTCATCGTACCGGAAAAGAATCACTGCCTAGTCCAGTTCGGTCATATCTAACATTTATGTTCAAGTTAAGTTCATGTTTTTTTTTTCTTTTTTTAATCTTGAAGCTGTTTGTTTTTTTTAAGTCTCAGTTTATTTAACTTTCATGTACAATACATTTATATTCAATCACTCAAAGTAGATTTTTTTTAAATGCATGCTATTTAAGCGCATTGATAATCTTCTCATTATGCATAATGTTCCGCTGAAATTAGATATACCATTTAGAAATAAAACCTCCGGCTTATTTTGGATGAACACTTGTATCCACTACGCTACCATATTAGAATGTTGGTTGTAGCTGAAGAGTTTGGGAAGCTCGAGTGACAAACGTCAAAAGGCTCGAAGTAGATTTGTCGAACATGATGCTGTGTTATTTGAAACATGCACGCAAGACTGCCCCTGACTGGTGAAAAAAAATCAATTAGTCACCGTTTAAGCCGGGGAACTAGTGGAGCACAACGGAACAAGGACGTGTTTTATCTGCTCTAAACAGACTCCTCGTCGTGCTTGTCGTTGTCTCAAAAGTGCTGAGTGCATCGTATTCAATTCCACCGATGAAAAGGGAATAAAAATGTGCACACGGGCCAGATCGTCACCGGCTCATTCATTGTGGACGCCGGCGATTTAGATGAATCACCCGGCAAAGAAGCACTGACGGCGAGCATCCCCGCAGGCCGCGGGCCTAATCGAATCCTGCAGTATTTAATGTGAAGCTGGCAGAATAAATGTAAAAATGAGCCAATCGATACGTTTAGCGGCCACTCACTCGTTCGTCCTCCTGCCCGGCCAATCACATGATTTATTGGCTATCTCATCTGCCGGCGACATCGATCGGCAATCGCGAGCGGCTGTTTGCTATGCTGAACTAATGCCACCCGACAGTGACGGCTTAATTAGTGTTCCGCATCTGCAACGGATACATATTGAAGGATTTCACGCGGTTGCTCCTCCGCCAAGGACGTCACACCCCTCGAATTCGTTATTATGTACCGTATATAAAAAAAAAAAAAAAAAGATTTTGCTATATTTCAACTCAACTCAAGGCCGATGGAAGAAACCAATTTCTCCCCTTTTATCAATAAATAAAATGACATTTAGGCTGCTGTGAAGGTGAGCCAAATGTTTGGCAAAGGACCGATTGACGTTCAGTATTTTTTATTTTTTTTTACCTCTGCCAAGTAGGTTCCATTTTCATTAATTTGCATTTTCATCAGAAGCATTGAACAAAACATACAAAATTAACGTTGATAAAACTTTGGGAAGCCAGCACTGGTTGAGGATTGCCTTGGTGGGGGTCGGTGCTCTATTTAGTTTCCCGCTGGGGTGTCCAAACATTTTCCTCACAGGGCCAAATAATGAAAAATGAAATGAATTCTTGGGCTTGACAAAACACACTCAATTTATATACTTAAATATTTTCCAGAACCAAAAAAAAAAAGAGCAATCTGAAATAAGCTGACAATCTTTGAAGCAGTGTTTACTTGAGGATCATAATTAATCGTGAATGTGATACGGCAGACCTTGACACAGAGCAGAAAGTGGAGGACAACCTCGGAATTATTTTTATTCGCAAGGTATTGAAAAAAAAACGTTTGTTGCAATTTTAGTTGTGAATAGTTTTAAATAAATTATGGTAAGAATTAGAATTTGCCCCAAGTGTGTTTGGGTTTTATATTTACACAAAGCAGTCTTAAGTCTTGCCCATGTCATGTGACTGGTGCTAAAACATTCACTTAATTCCCATGAATTCTCATGGAAATCTCAAGAAATGTGCCAAAAAAAACAAACAAGTCGGCGTCTTACTCCAGACAGTGAGCTTGGCCGTGGCGTTGATGCTCCTCTCCGAGTTGGAAGCGATGCAGGTGTATTCTCCCGAATCCTGGAACGTGACGGGCTGAACCTGCAGGCTGCCTGATTGCAAGAGTTTGAACCGAGGTACCTGCACGGAACCGCTTGCTAACACCTGCAAGCCTACAACACAGAGAACCGTACATGTTGTGCTTCAAAACGCCGTTTCTTGGTAAGAACACCAGGGGTTGCAGTTTTTCTGGTGCATCTTTGTCTGCGAGGGTCAATCGCCAGGTGTGCGGGTGTGAGTCGCCGACTGACGGTCACATTCGGGCACCTCGCTCAGTATGTGGCAGGCCAAAGAAGCTCTGACTTAAGATTTCAGACCCCCAGTTGGAGCGCGTCTACGTCTTTGCGTACATGTTACCTTTCCTCCAAGTGACGGCAGGCTTTGGGGCGCCACTTGTCTGGCATATAAACAAGGCTGTGTTCCCTTCGGTTACGGTTTTGTCAGATGGACGCACGGCGAAGTTGGGAGGCACATCTGAAACGGAGCGAGACACCAAATGAGACACGGGAGGAACATCGCGAGCTGCCGTCGCGGAGTTCTGATGATAATGCAGAGGTGAGCGCAAAGGGAATTGATGGTGAATGATTTTTCAGACATTCACTGCAGTCTACAGAGAGTCACGATAAGACAAAAACACATCGGAGAACATCCAGGCGAAAGCGAGGCCCAAACATTACACTGCATGCAGAAATGAGAAATCCAAAGCCAGTTCTCGTTAACCATGAGGAACGGGTGGTGTCGTAATGGAGACGGAGTGTGAGATGACAGCATCGTCGGAAGGACTCACTGGAGACGAGAAGCTGCGTGTGGGCCTGCGTCTCTCCGGCGACATTGCGGGCGAAGCACTGGAATATCCCGCCGTCCCCCGGTTGCACCCGCCGCACCGTCAGGCCCGTCGCGCTGCTGATCTTGTAGCGAGGGTTGGCCAGCTTGGACAGAGGCACGGCGTCCTTGTACCACTCTATCCTGGGCGGAGGCACACCTGCACAAGCATGTGCAGTGTGGAATAACACAAAAGATGAGAATGATAGCTTTGAAGTTTTTTTTTTTTTTTAATAGGCAGGTGGGCCAGGTCATTTGTTGATGATGAGGCAAAAAAAAAACAAAAACATTTTTCACATGAAAACCGCTTTGTAAATAGAATGTGACTGATTGATTGACTGAAAAATGTGTCTAAAATCTGTCAAACTGTTTTCAGAATATTTTTTAATTGAAATAATCTGCTTGCAGTTAATTAGTAAATCATCTAATACAATCGAAATAAATGTGTTTACTGCAGTGCTTCTCAATACATTTCTGTGATAATAATAATAAATAATGCCACTAAATTAATTAAATAATTTAATTGGATGAATTAATTTAATTACATTAATTAAATAATTTAATTGATTAATCAATAAATGTGTCTCTGACACCTCTACATAACATTGTATTCTCATCAACATGTCCAAACTTTGTTAAATTTGAAGCCGGGAAAATAATAATATATTTTTGGCTTGTGTTGAGATCTCAAGTACATTTCCCGACGTGAAATATGCGCACGTGCTTCACGTCTAACTTTGACCTGTGTTCTGCACACAAACAATACAGCGAATCCAATTGGGACACAGTTAAAAAAAAACAAAAAACACACACACACACACATTTGACCTCTGCGAGCTGTGCAACCCCCCACCACCCCATATGATCCGTTTTTCCTGCCCTCTGTTGCTATTAATATGCATGGGGACATAATGACTGCTAATAATATATTGATTGCAGCCTCTGTCTGGATGTCGGGGGCAGCTGAAAAACATTCTGAATAAATGATAGCGGCAAATATCTACAGTATAAGCGCCAGCCTACCTGACACGCATGTCAAATGTGACGGGCACAGGGCGAATGTAATGACCATCAGTTCTCCATAGTCATTAGTAAAGTATGTAGTGTGCGCGCGAGGATACGCCATGGAAAGAATTCCAGATTTTCACCTCAATGTGTTGCAGTCAAACTTTGCGCAAAAAAACACGCGTCAAGTATGCTTCATCCCTCTTTGCTTGTCACTTCTCCCTCCGAGCCTCCATCGCTCTGCTCTGCCCTCACCCAACGAGGCACTTCGGCCTATTTAATAACGCAGACACTGTATCGACGAGAAACGTCAAACTTGCTCACCGTCACATGTGACAGATGCAAGAATGCAAGACTTTTTTTTTCTCGTTTTTTTTTTTTCTTTTTTAACCCTTGTGGTAACATTTTTAAAAAGTGTTTTCATATATTGGGTGCACCGCATCGCTAAGATAACGTTTAAACGTTGTCTTCAAAATAAGATACGCCGCAAATAAAAAGTGCCTGAAAAATACGACTCACCATCGCCGCTTATTATGCAGAGTAGGCTTGGTGCGTGTGAATCTCCCGTTGAGATAAAGCCGTATTTGAAATAGGGCTCCTGATACTGTCTATTAAATGTAGCCTTCTCTTTCTTGAAAGTCGGAGGCTCCTCTTCTGTCTCCTGGCTGGGCCTTTTCCCCTTCCCGAAAAAAACTTTTCAAAGACGTTTGTTTTTTATGCGGTAACCTATCACCTGACCGAGAAGCGCGATTTCGCCTGAGTCAAGAGTGACATACTGTAGACTGATATAACAGAGAATCCGGTAATTTTTCAAAATAAAACATCTTTCAGATTCTGAAATGAATAAAACGGAAGGAATGAAAGTTGTTTATTCTTTCTGTGCGGCCCGGCACCAAATGAGCACAACCGCCGGTCCGCGGTTGGGGACCCCTGGTTTTGGGGAACACTTGAGGAAAAGTGGGAGGAGACAAAAACCCATATCTGCTCATAGAAACATGCAAACGTACCTGTGGCCAAGCAGGGAATTTCCACATTTTTGTCAATTTGAGCGTAGATCTTCCACTGGGGTTGAGCGGTCAAAGAAGGCGGCTCTGGAGAGAAAACGCAAAACATGAACATTTCACACATTGCCAATGTAGAACGCAGTCTGCAATTTTTTTCCCCCTCTGAACACGATGACCTTCCTGTCATAGTATTACAACTTTTTAAAAACAAATTTTTTTTAACCCCACCGAGTTGTCCCCTTTTCATCGTGGCCCTCCAACACTCGCTTGCAAGCCTACGTCCGCTTTCGTCACTGCTAAACTCCGCAGTTGAAAGAAGATGCGCGGAACACCATTTGAATATCTTTGGCAGAAAAATACATCAAAAAGTCCTCTTCAATTGTGCGGAATCTGAGCACACAAAGAAAGTGTAAGTTTATGATGGCGTACAGGGAACTCGCGGCTTCAACATTTATTCTATTTGACGACGCTGGCTTTTAAGTCGTGCTTTGTGCTTTGCCTTGAAGGCGCACGAGGCCCCGGCTCGTGTATTTATTAAGCACAGTTGGGAGTTTGCGTGTGATTTTGGACTGGAGATGCGTGCTGTGAGGAAAAACAAAAGCTCCACGGTAAAAAACGAAATACGAGCTTGGTGGTGGGACACTGATAAAGCGAACGTTTTGATTGCCTTGAATCAGGTGAGTTTCAAGGACCAAAACACACACGCACACACGTGCGAGCGCACACAAAGCAAAACATGTTTCTGACTCGTTTTGCTAGTTTAGGTTTCAGGGGCACTTCAGCCGGCGTCCCGCTTGTGTGGCGGTAAAGCAGCGGGGGGAACAACAACAGATCTATTGTTGTTCGCAGTGGCAACGCAACACAACCGGCTCCCTGTGTCATACATATTCCGATTAATGGGCAGAGTGGAAATGCGACTGAATAATGAAGACTTTTGAGGCACACGCACGCACACACCTCCCACCCGCCACACATGCGCAGTTCTGTATAGAAATTAATTTCACTGTATTCAGGAGGTCTACTGAGTGCATATTCGAAACAGAGCAACAGCCCACTTGGCCTCGAAGGGGGTGTGGCGTGGCGGGTGGGGGGAGGGATATACGGTACATACTTTTTTGGCACATTTGTAAGAACATGCATTATGACTTGTCATTAGTACATGATGAATAAGATCTGCGGAAAAAAAAACTGTCATATTCAGAAACACGATCTCTGTCTCCCTGGTATTTCTGTTGTGAACTGAATTTCAATTCGATAAAACGTTGCCATGTTATGAGGTGCAGCACTTCCTCACAGAAGTGAGCGACACCGAGGACTTATATTTTCATAAACAGTGCGCCTGCACTGCGGCGCAGATGCCGGTGCGTCCTGATTTTCATATCAGCGCAGCAGTTTGTTTGTTTTTTTTGCCAATTCGAGAGACCGATTTCCCGCCGAGTTGGCCGAGGGTGTGCCCTAGGAGACGCGCTCAGCGGAGTGACAATTTGATAGCATAAAGTCAGTCTAAATTTAAATTTGAAAAGACCGCATCTAAATACTGATGCGGCTGGTCGTAAACAATTTTGGTGAATATGATCAGGGTGCACAGGCAGACAGATTCTGAGCTCTGCAGACAAGTGTAGTTGACGTCGGATGTAGTTTGTTCTTAAACATGGGAACAGTGAGCATCAAACACCTCTGAATGACTACATATTTTAAAATCATACCGACCGTATCGGGTATCAGCTATACAATCCATAACAGATAGATGAAAAATTAAAAAAAAAAAACAACTAGGGTCGAAAAATGACCAAGTCGACTTTCTGGATTATTCATCCATCCGTTAACCAAAGTGCTCATCCTCACGAGAGTCGCGGGCGTGCTGAAGTCTATCCTAGCTGTGTGAAGATCCATGGGTTTTTTTTTCTTCTTTGAATATTTGTGGGTGTGCGGAACGGATTAATTGGATTTACATTATTTTCTGTGAGCAATAGCGCTTTAAAGATCTGCTTATTTAATGGAAACCCAGTAGGGCTCTGAGGTCTGCTGACTTGGGTTAATTAGTGGAGCACAGAGTACAACGTAACCACGGTGACTCAGCATTTACCAGTTATGCTGCACGCATAATAAACTGCCAACTGAAGTGAAGTGAACCCAAAGCGTAAATGCTTTTAAATCCAGATTAAATATGATTTTTTATTTCTTCCCTCAAAACGATGGCCAAAGTCGTTTCAAGCATTTTAAAAATCCATTTCACTGCATTTTCTTTTAGTCGTGTTAGAAACCTACATCTTAGACCTTGTTCTAGGCTATTTTTTGTTTCTCTGTTTTTGAGTGCTTTATATGGTTTATTTGTGAATGCTTTTAAATGCAGTTGTGAGAGTGTGAAGCACTTTGAGTTGACTTGTGCATGAAATGTGCATCTACACGCCAGTGATGAGGCACTCCGGATTATGGAAAGGGCAAGTACACTCCGGCAGGTCCTTTGTGACTTGTGAGAATACTATCGGTATCACTAGCGTGCTCTCTTTGCATTAAAGCGCTCCCACGCTCTGACAATCACAGTAGATCAAAAAAAAAAAAAAAAAAAAAAAAAGTCGCTGACACGCGGGTAGGAGGGAGCGTTTCATCAATCAAGCGTTAGCTGCCAGGGTCTGTTGTTCTCTATTCCCACACAAATATCCAGGACGGCCACCGTCTGCGACAGTGTTCCTGTGTGACTGCCTTTAGGTTTTTTTTTTTTGGTTTTTTTTTTTTTGGTTTTGTTTTTTTTTCGCCCAGCATTGATTTGTGGCTCAGGGGAGGGAAAAAAAAAAACTAATTTAGCTGGCAGATAAACAGGCGTATGTGTCCATGGTGTTTTTTGCAATTACGTTTAACTCTGAAATTCACTCGCATTCTCACGCCCGCACGCACGCGCCCGCGCGCACACACGCACACACACACACACACACACACACACACACACACACACACACACACACACACACACACACACACACACACACGCGCGCCACTGTATTCTATGTATGTACTTTATTGATGGACAAGAGATTTAGCTGGTGTTGTCCCATGGTGGACATTCAATTCTCTCAGTGTGCACGTTTGCAATTTCTAGCGAAAAGTTCCTACTTGATTTATTAGAATGATTTTAGTCTCACTGGGAATTCACAATTCAGTGGTTTGTAATTGTTTTTTTTTTTTTTTTTTTACAGATCAAGTCCAACACTGTGGAAATATTTAAAAAAAATTGTGTCAATTGAATCTTTTATGACACACACACACACACACAGCAGCCGTATGTTTGCTGAGCGTACACTCACCAATCACAGTTAGGCGCGCCCTGGCCTCAGCAGCTTTGGAGGTGTTGTTGCCTAGCAACGCTTCACAAACATACTCCCCACCATCCGAGGAGGCTGGGGCGGGAATCAGCAGCCGACGCCCAGTGGCCAAGTGATGCCCATCACGTTTCCACACTATCAGCAGGCTGTCCACATCTCTGAGGAGGAGGGAAAAAAAAGGACGGGGGAGGATAAGAGGATGAAGTGACAGAGAAGAAAGGACAAGATAGTAAACGTATCAATGAGGCAGCAAATGACTAGTGACAGGGAGAATGACAGCGGAATCCCAGCTTGTCTGCATGAAGCAGCTGCAGATCAGAGAAGGACTCTCGGGTAAATTGGACTTTTAGGGCCAGAGCAGCGACAGCTGCCCGGTCGCTCTGGGTTCTGAAGAAATTCTTTTTCGTATTTGTAATGATTCATTTTGGGGGGGGGGGGGGGGGGGAGTGTAAGCATGAACAACAAACTCACAACATTTTGCACAAACATCAGGCTTGGTGAAAAATTTGAGACTTTAAAGTTGGAATCCACGAGTACTCAACAATGTCGCACCCCTCAAGAGGTGTTTATTTTTTTTTCTATGACAGGATTCTTTTCATTCATGAAAGTGCACCTCAGATCCGCATTGTTTAATTTTTAGATTCAGACTGTACTATGGAGTGTGGACTGAAAAAAAAAATGTTGCTAGCAGTGATGACAAATATTCATAAAATTTGCATTGGAAAACACATAAATCCTCTCCTTAATTCCCCCTTTAAGACAGCATTGCTACAATTAGTTGGCGGGGGCTTAAATGTTCATGACTCTGCCTCAAATGGACTTCATGATAACAACAGAAGGACTAATTTAACTCAATAAAATGAAACGTTTATTGTGTTCATTGTTAATTAACCAGCATCAAAGACCTGTAAGAGGAGTGCTAATGCCTATCATGCTAACACTTATCCCGCTAACATTTTGTGATGAAAGAGGCAACATTCAAAGGCTTCAAAAGAGGCGCTTGTGAGTCGCTAGCGTGTGACAACTTCTCGGCTATAACTTTGCCCTTTATTTGTACGTACGGACCTTTTTTTTTTTTTTGGTCACCATTTATTGTTCATTTGAATTCTAAACCTCTTTATCGAGAATTAGCCGTGACATTTTTTGACGGACAATATTGCCGCTTGTTTTTGTGCGTGCCAAATGATTACATCAGCTCTGTTGTCTCCTTTATGTGTACTTTCCACCCTCTTATTGTTTTAGTGGAGAAGATCAGCGCGATTGAACTTTCGGGGTTTGTCTTTGATGCTATGAGAGGGACAAGAGCCGGCGCTGGGGTGAAGTCAAGAGAAGCAAGAGAGATGACTAAATACGGCATAATCCTTCTGTATGCGTGAACAGATAAACTCATGGCTGTCAGAAAACCACAGTTGCTTGTTTACAATTCAAATTTGAGCTCCGGCAGCAAATGCAAATAACGCCATGCATTCAATGATCGTGACATTGCAATTTTAGCCTTCCAGCACACTTGTAACGGTCAGCGGAGACTTCAGTCTTGTTCTTCTCTCCTATCAATTAACAACTTTACACATGTTGGACTGTGTAACAGGAGGGAATCAAACTCTGGACCTCCTGTGTGACAAATGCCAATGTTCTTATATTTTAATTAGACAAGAATGTCTTTCGAGATGAGGGGTGTCAAACTCATATCTGTCGTGGGCCACTTTGAAGTGAGCCATCAAAAAAATGATGGCTCACTAGTTTTTAAATCAGTCAAGTATTTGTTCAGTTATTGCCCAAGTGAGTGTAAACAGGGTCACAACATTATTGGGAAATGTCACCATTATTGATTACGTATGACAATTTGAGATTTTGGTACAGATTTAAACAAGGATCATGAAAGTTGACACAGATGATTTGCTTTCGTGGGCCACATAAAATGACGTGGCGGGCCGGATCTGGCCCCCGGACCTTGACTTTGACACCATTGTTCAAGACTGACTCATCTTTTTTTTTTTAAATTTCATTTTTGAGGTGCAGTTGTTGTTCATGCTCTATAAAAGTTGAATTGAATTGCTTTTAGCCTATAAATATTTGCTTTGCTATTATTGTCATACCTTTTAAAATTAATGTAAAAATAATACAAAATATTATTTGACCAAATGTTACCATCAGAACAATGGTCATATTTTTTTCATGAATTACATTTAAAAAATGCATATATTAGGGCCTATGTTATGTATGATTACATGAGCACAATGCAATTCCCATTTTCATGTCATGTGGTCTATGATAAACTGACCCTTGTGTTCACAATGGTTTGAACATCTTCAGCTAGGCTACATCGGTTGATATGCATCACATCCATCAGTGAGTGTTTCGACTTGCTCTGTGCATCTTGGCAAAAGTGCTGTCAAGATGCACACGAGCCAGACAGACATCGGCTCAATAAGCCAATCCCGCAAAAACCCTCGACAAACACTCAAGTGCGTTTTGGAAGTGTGTGCGCAGCTTATCACCTGTTGATTTGAACACAGTCAGCCAGCATCCTCACACTGATGAAATACGTCTTTTAAAAAATGGGCCAAGCCGCAAAACGGTCCTTGCCTGCTGTTATTTTGTCATTGGACATTCTGGTGTGTTTGATATAAAAATAACATGGCCTCACTGCTCAGAATAAGAACAACTTCATGGATTGGCCTGCATGGTGCCATTGTTATTCCTTATGCATTTGTCACGCGTTCGGAAAAACAGCTCTCATTTTGTTTGTGGGACTGAACAAATATATAAAACCACCACTCATTGTAAGACTGATGCCACGATTGCGCTAAAGTGATTGCACTGCAATTTACGTTACGGGTAATACACCAGAACATAGAGGCTCTCTGTCCTTTCCAGTGCTACAACATCATGATTATTATCCATGAATTTTCCAATGCATTTTTTTTTTTGCTGAATAATTTAAAAAAAATAAAGCACACTAATTTCTTGTTGGATTATAGCTATAGTGACATCCTATTGCATTGGATCAAATTGTGCAGGTGTAAAAAATATAGCAGCCAGTATACAGTAAATCATATAGCTTCAACCAAATAAAGCATCGTTAAACAAATAAAGGTTTTCTTATCTTATTATATCACGTCACATGGCATGTCATATCATATATCTATTAATAGATAAAATATACCTGGCATTAGCGATGCACTCCAGGATGGCTTTGGTCCCTGCCACCACTGTTGTGTCTTTCGGTCCGATCACAATGTCTGGAGCATCGACTTCTGACTCCAAATCTGCCATAGAAAGATGATAGTGGTTCACACAGATATAGACTATGTATGCCAATACATCATTGCTGTACAGAGTAATTCAAGTGCCGCTCATATTGGCTCTTTGGAAGGATAGGACATACAGGTACTTGTCAATAAATTGGAATATCATGGAAAACTTTATTTCCGTAGTTCAATTCAAAAAGCTCAACTCATCTTAAAAAATAATCTCTTCAGACTGTGAAATATTTGATGATTTTATCGTTAATCATTTGCATGAAATTATGGTAGAAATCCTGTATTTTCAACAGAGATACAGTATGTATATATATATATATATATATATATATATATATATATATATATATATATGTTTTTTAAAGTTTTGAACTGATATAATGAAATAGAATTTTCTACAATTTCCTCTTGTGTAGCACATTACAACATCATGAAATGTATTCTAGTTTCTTTGACATCTGTGTGGTGCTAGTCTGACCCTGAGGTGAATTACAGCCAATGCCGCGGTTCAAAATTTCCATGCATTTTTATTTTTAACCTGTCTTCTCTTATTCACTGTAAAACTCACATATTTGCTGTTTTGGTTTGAGTGGGCATCAATTCCTCGCAGATTAAGGGGGGCTCACCACATTTCTATTTGTACCATAGTTCCATCGTCAACAAATACTCTTGAGCACCCCTCCTCCAAACTATTCCTCGCTCTTCAGGGCAGTAATGATGAATTGCAGAGAGGAGGATAACACTACACATGTGCTACAGTGATAACATGAAAAATAGTACACTTGGTGTGCCTAAAGAGTGATTTATGTCCCCACTGGTAAAATAAATGGTGGCGTGAGTGGGAGATTATGATGATGATGTGTGTGTGTCTGAAAAAGAGCAAGGAAGACGATGATTTATGACCCAAATGGCCTCATAATAGAAAAAAAAGACTCAATAGGATTCTTATCACAGCTTGAAATGTGGATAATGTGCTCAGCAGAATTAGTATGGAAAGAAGTGGGACCCACACACACACACACACACACACACACACGCGCGCGCGCGCACACGCACAAGCGCATATGAACGTCATTGGATTGGCCACGGCACTATGTGAATATGCAGATTTGCAATCAGTCAGAAGTAGGAAGTACAAATTAAAGAGGCCAACTGTGACAGGAGTTGGATGGGGATGTGAGCGTCAGAACGTGAGGGATTGAGGGGGTGGCGGTTGGGGGAGTGAACGCAGATGGAGGTGAGGAGCGCCTTTCATCTCTCCTTTGAAGCGAAGGACCAAAAAGCTGGTAATTGACTCTCTGCTCTTTATTCCTCCTCCTTCTTTCGGAGACTCACGAGAGCCAAAGAATCATATCCCGCTGTCACAGGGAATAAGACATGCGGGTGCAATAAAAGCAGCCAAATCACGACACGCACACACACACATAGACACACATTCTCACATACACTGATACTCACACACCATCTCACGCTCACATACACTTAAACATGCCAGCACCTTGTCACTGACACCCACTTGTGCGCTTTTAACTTTTAAGAGTACAGGTTGAGTCACTCCTGGGGAAGATAAGACGAGTGATGACAAAAAGAACACGAAGAACTGAAGTTTGTTAACGTTGAATGTCATTTCCCCATAGAAATGAAGAGAAGTTAAATGAATCTGTGCCCAACTCTCGTCATAGTAACTCCATTGTTAACTGTACTGGCAGCTAACACTGTAAAATACAGGCCACGTAATAAGCCAAAAGATAAGCATTTTATTTTATTTTTTTAAACAAAACCAAAATATTCTTCAGAAAATGCTGATAAACATGTTGAGAAAAAAAATGCAAAATTTGAAGATATTGCAAAAAGAAAGAAAAAATTGAAAAAAAAAATCTCTGAAAATGCGAATCCACGGGTGCCAAACTGCGAATATGCAGGGGTGGATTCAAGATTTCAGCTGTAATATCACCAATCACCACTAGATGGGAGCCAGGTTTTAGTTACGCATACACTGAGTCTATTCCATTGTTTTTAAACATAATTCCCTGACTCAGTCTTCCATCCCAAAAATGGGTGTACGTCCGAAACGGATGCATGGACCATTCGGTCCCAGGGACGGAATGCCCATCTCTTGTTAAGTTTCAAGTTCTCTTAACATATACATACTACAAAAAGTTACTCGACAGTCTGCTTGGAATAAATCTCATATTAAATCCTAATACAAATCCTGGGAACAAAGGGCTGCTAGCTAACTTCAGGCTAAAGTTAGCTTTGTTGCGCTAGTGTCAACCTATTAGCTTGTGTGTGTGTGTGTGTGTGTGTGTGTGTGTGTGTGTGTGTGTGTGTGTGTGTGTGTGTGTGTTGCTGACGTGTACAATATGTCAGGTTTTTGGGCCCTGCAGCAATGTCTGTCATGCGTTGTCATCGTGAAGCATGTTTGAATGACTGTTTGAAATTTGCATGGAAGTGTCGCATTTTACATCTCTTCATCCAAGACTAAAATGAAGTCTGCCACAAACTGCACTGGAATGGGCTCCTGAATCTGCTGCGTTAACCATCACGAATTATTTTATATATTTTTTTGTTTGGCATCTGAGTTTTTGTGTTACTTTTAAATTCCATTTGTCCTGAATATGTTTCATTTAAATTTTTTTTTTTAGAGATGGCTGTGATACTGGATATCTTCATCGCACATATACACAGGACATTGTTATCGTGCAAAGGCCAACATGTAGTACAAGGTGTTGTGATTAAAAAAAAAAGAAAAAAAGGCCCTGTGGCAGTTGAACTGGATGCAGGGTGGTCATTAAGAGGTCAGACAAGCAGACATCGGTGGCCGAGTGAAACGGCAACAGTGACCCCGAGTAACACGCTAAAGGTGACAGCCTGTTAGCTTGGACGGAGGGAGGCAGACGGAATCCCGAGGGAGGGTGAAAGGAGGTGAATAAAAGTGCTCGGCTGAGGCAGACAGAGCGTGTCGAGGGGAATATTGCAGATGGTCGTCTCGCCGGAGTAAAAGATGGTGGAAGCGAAGGAGAAGCAAAATGCCATATGGATGTGTGATATTCCCTCCTGTCTCTTTTCTCTAACAGCGTCTCCCTCTGGGGAAATATTATTTCATCTCGTCGGGAGCGCACAATCCCTCTTTCGCCCAACGCTCCTTTTACGCGGAAACATTTTGCAGTTCATTATACGCTGAGATTATGGCAGGCAAAAGTTATTTTGCTTTTAATTCCACGTGCGTGTGCAAGCTGTGCCAGCTCGAACGGCTCCCTGCAAAGACGCGACAAGGAGAGTCCAGAAGTTTCATCAAAATATATTGGATTGCTCTTTCAGCCAATGAGAAACGCCATGTGGTCGGCTGCCGTCCTGCGAAAGCGTAGCAACCTTATAAAAAACACTCAACCTTTGATAATAACACCAGAGTGACGAGACTTGCCAGTCGACGGCTTGCTAGCTCATGCTAGCATTGAATGCTAATGACTTTGCAGTCTCCTTGGTTTCCGTTTATACGAAAACATGAAAAGTGTGCTTCTTAAAAATCCAACTAAATGGTCCAACTAAACATAATATTTAAAAACATCCACACAACTTGGCCTTGGTGATATCAGCTGCCAAAATGTGAACACACGCTAATGAAATTAGCATAAATGTTGCGGTGGTTCAAAACCTTTAAACAACTTCCATTTGAACAGAAATGATGGCAAGTGAGCATACAAATGTACTCAGGCATATATTCTTTATCCTCCACATAGAGTCTTTATCCTTTTAACATCCCGATCCAAGTAAACATGTTCTACCAGAGCAAAAGGATCAGAACATATTTCTCCCGTCCGAAAGGTTTTACACTGGCTCCAAGTCAGCTGCAGAGTCGACTGTAAGGTTCTGCAACTGCTTTGTAAATCACTGAATGGTTTTCATCCCGAATAAAATGAAAGAAATGCTAATGGAATTATAAACCCAAACAGGGCTTTGAGGTCTGCAGCTTGTGGTCAATTAGTGGAGCCCAAAGTTCAAAGCAAACATGGTGAGGCAGTATTTAGCTGTTTTGCTAAACACAAATAGAAAAAAGTGGCACCAGAACTGAAGTTAGCACCCGAGTGTAAATGCTTTTACATCCAGGTTAAAAAAAAACTACGCTTTTGGCCCATACCGATGATTTTTTTTTCATGTTTATTTATAGACTTTTTCAATTAGAACAACTTAGTCAAGTTATTTATATTCATCCCCAGACCTATGATTTAAAGCATTGTTAAAATAAATGTTCCGAAATCTCTCTCTTGCACTGTATGTCCTTCTTGTACTTTTAGGAAGCGACCTTTTGTTTCTGTACTTTGTGTTTCAATGTCTCCAGTTCTTTTGCTTGTAAATGCTTTTAAAATGTACTTTTAATTGCGTGAAGCCCATTGAGTTACCTTGTGTATGAATTGCGCTCGATAAATAAAGCTGCTTTGCCTTGACTAAACAAGGGTGTTTGTGATCACGACGAGGCGGATCAGTGTGTGGTATAAATGTGACAGCAGCTTTCCTTGTATATCCGTCAGAAGGCCTTCTAACCTGCATTCTATGCATTTGCTCTGGAAAACCCCTCATCGCTCCTTAAAGCAATCGACTCCGAACCACAACTCTTGTGAGGATAGTGGGAAAGAACACAGTGTGTCCTCGTGTGAGTGTGTGTGCGTGAGACAGTATGTGTAATTTGGCACCAAAGAGGTAGTGACGCACCGTTGCAATGTTACAATTCTGTCATCAATGTAATCACAGCTGATTGAAAGTTAGACGTGCGTGATGTTTGCATACATCTGTGTGTGCGTCTGTGTGCGTGTGTTTGTGTGTGTTTGCGTGTGTGCTCGATATTTGGTCGGAAGGCACAAAAATCCCAAATTAAATCAAGGTTGGGAAAGATAAGAATAACAGGGCTAGTAAAAGGATTGGTGCAGCTTTAGGGTAGAGAAGAGATAGAGATGGATAAAGAGAGAGAGAGAGAGAGAGAGAGAGAAAGAGAGAGAGAGAGAGAGAGA